TGGGTAACAGGGAGTCTATATGGAGACTGGGTAACAGGGAGTCTATATGGAGACTTCCATGAATTACTTGCCCAATTTACAGTTGTGTACTTAGTTGCCAAGCCTTTGATTTGGAGTGAGGCTGAAGGTGACCTTGTCATGATAGAGACCTGTATTTAGTTAGCATGATAACAAAGTGATTTACATTTGAAAGGTAGCAAGGTTTGTATCATAACAAGGTCACCCTCAGCCTCACTCCCATTCAAAGGCTTGGCAACCAAGCACGCAACTGTAAAATGGACTATTGGAACTGTGTTTTGGAGTTCTATTCAACCATTTTGCTTTTTAATAGTTTGATTTCTTAATTAATGAGTTCTATCTACCTGATCGATCCTAGGCAACATTGAACCATCCGAAAAATGAAATGATTTGCAGTGCTGATGAAGCTCAGTTCATGAGACTGCTGTGACAACTGATCAAAGCCAAAAAAGTCATAGAAATAGGTAAGATTAAGTCAGTTACTGAAATATCTCAAATCTTCCTTCATCTCTAAATAGAATCTGTATCTCTGGGCACATGTATCAGAGTATCTTTGAAATATTATATACCTCTCAGACTGTTGTTGGTAGTGTATAGAAAGTCTGAGAAAATAGAACTATCTACTGTATAAAATTAATTAATAAATTAATGATTAACCAATTTTTTTTTAATTTTGCTGTATTCTACTCTCAGAATACCATGTTAAGGCCACAAAACATATATTCATCTTTCAGTGGAGTGTACGTGGGGTTCTTTAGTTCAAGCTACAACTGCTGTGATAAGATCATTTTTGTGTGCTTGCAATTTTTATGTGATCATTTCTTTTCTTCCAGGTGTGTATACTGGATATAATACTCTAAGTATGGCAGTGGCACTTCCTCCATATGGCAAAGTTGTCGCATGTGACATAACGGATAAGTTTTTAAGGGAAGCGGATAGCCACCATTACTTTAAAGAGGTATGGCTAGTACTTTACAGGCTGGTGGTCTGAGCCAAATTTTTCATGATACCGGAACTAAAATTCTTGCAAAGACAAGGTTGTATACTACTAATCAACTGGCTGATATTTTTCTGCAAAACCAATAGTGAAGAGAGAGGGTGAGTGTGACATGGGTAGGTCAGGAAGTAATTCTGCACACCCCTCACCAACTTGGATTCATCCTAGCAGAGTGTTTAAATTAAATTAGTGGAGTTTTAAGCTGTTCTGTATGAGAGGAGGATTACCCAGCAGTTCAACCACCTTTGAAAAATTACTCAAGCCTTTCTTTTGTCCCAATAATTTGGTTTTATTTACAGAGTTAGCAATTTAAATTGGCCTCCATAAAGAGTTTTTAAACACCGTGAACTTGGAAGAGCTTATGCTTGAAACTTTCACTCTAGAAACTCTCTTTGGTGGTCAATTTACATTAGCAACTCATTTGATAAAACCAAATTTTCTTGTAATACCCCCACTGACACAGTGCAATTTCCCTGGAAACTTACCCCCTTTATTTCATTTGACCACTGTCTTGTATGGAAGGTTATTTTAAGTTTGTTACATCCATTGGCTAGCAAGCTGAAAGCTCAAAGAGAGTTCCTTTTGCATTAACTTTTATCCAGGCTGGTGTTGAATCAAAGATAGATTTACGCATGCAACCTGCCATTGCTACACTTGGTAAGGATAGTTACTATCCTGGTGACAGAGAAATTAGTACTATGAGAAAATAAGATGAGAACATAGGATTTACCAACAAAAGTATTATTTCTAGTCCTTCAAGTAGTTCCGATGCCTTGTTTCATGCTTTTAATTTCCATTTTTGTACATTTCTGGTTTTCTTTTTATGAGTGGTATAGATGAAACTTTAACGCAAATTTATATCAATTTGAACGACCTCATGCTGCTTTAATTTTCCAGTTTACCCTAAACAATCATCTTACTCGCCTCCAGTCTTGCCTATCGATGTCAGTTTTTGCCTTTCCTTTGTTTCTTTCATGTTCTTATACCGCTGTTGTGGTATGAGAAACACATTTCAAGTGGGTGTCATAAAACCAACATCAACGTTATTGCAGTGGCCATACAGAACAAGGTGCACCAACTACCAGTTAGAGCTCAAAAGAAAAACAAGCGAACCCTCTGTAGTGTATAGGATGCCAACGAGCATGTAATATGCGCGATGTAATGTGATGCGTGATGTGAGATGTAATACCCTCGAGACCTGCATATATACAGCATGTGTTTAATTATACCCCATTCACACCAAAGCCTAAACATGCTTTAAAGCTGTTTTGTTAAACATGGTTTAACACAACAGCTCCATAGAAACTGCTCAAATCAATGTTTGGTTGACTTCAAATGTGGCACATTGAAAATACAATTTGGCAATTGCTTGAATCTTGTGGAAAATTTAGTTTTTCAGTTCTCTGCTTCTGATTTTTATTCAGTTAAACCTGGTTTAACTAAACAAGTTTTCTGGTGTGAATGGGGTATTAG